TGATCGACTAAGTCAACCAAGTCGACTTAATCAACGAACTAAAAATTATTGGTCAAAGTTCAACTTTTGTCTTTTTTTAAGAGTTTCATTGGATAAGTTGATTATTGTTTACGCATGATCTGCATCGAAAAAAAAAATACTCATGAGATCATTATCAGCAAAGCAGAATTTGCCCTTAATGACTTAGTCGACTAAGCCGACGACTTAGCCGATGATTCAGTTAGTCTATCGACTAACAACACTATGTGGGATTAGTTTTGTAACATCGACGGTTCCTCCTGTTTTTTCTAATTACTGTACATTGTTACTTGCTGCATCACGATAACCTTTTTACTAATTATGACGTGATTCTCCGGATGATTATGTAATAATCCGACAATTACTTAGTCAACTTTTCCAACATAAATATATCAGAAATGATGTATGATATACAACGCAAATTTTATCAACACAATATAAAAAATTATTTTAGCTCTTACTAATATTAACACCTTATATGTAGATATAGATATTAACACTACAGAAAGCTTTAAATGGTTGATCGATACTTAGAAATATCAAAAAAAATAAAAATAAAAATATTATACAGCACACATAAAATTATCCAATTAAGAAATAAAATGCAGTTGCTTCTTTATTAGTGAAGTTCTATAGCAAAACTGTATCAATAAAAGTAATATAAAGGTAAGATAAAAAAACATGCTAGTTGTTATGAATGTACACAAAATATTGGTAAAAAGTAAATAAAATATAAAACGCCTAAAAAAACATACAGGTCATTATGAGTGTACGCAAAATATAAGAACTTCAATTACGGTCAACGTTTTCTATAACAAGCTGATGGTCCCGGATGTAAAACAAAAAGTCCACTATATAAAGTACTATGTTTTGTCAAGAAACTTAACTCTTTATACTGAAATTATTATTATATTTCACTGATTTGCTCTTTTTATATTTTTATACTCGGCCTTGAATAGAAAGTCCTGTAATGCTATCAACCACTTGAAAGACCTCATAATCTAAGATTGTGATGCGATGTGAATTCATATTTATAAATTTAGGGTAGGTTTTTGTTTTAACTTTCCAAGTAGTACTGTTATTTTGAACTTGTAAATCAGG